GTGTTCTTAAGTATTAAAATATCGTAAAAATGTTCAGAAGTATTCAAATGTAAAAATTGTTCAAATATTCAGATCCAACTACAATTTAAAAATTGTTGTCTATACATAGTTGTCTATAAAGTATTATAAAGTAAATACAAGTTATGAGAATGTCCTAAAGTTTTCAGATGCCGTAATGGAATTCTAAATTAACAGTGTGAGTTTGTTTGTTTGTTTTTGAAGGATTTCTGATGCCTTCAATTTGTACAAATTAGAATATACTCTTAAATATACATTTGATGTGAGAAATTTTACTTTTGTTCTTCTTCTGAAGAAAAAACCAGTGTCGTATAGTTAAGCCCCCACCCCTGGTAGATGATCCCCCGGAAGATTCTCTACATAGTAAATCTTCCCCGACGGAGAAAGCTTTACTGTATTTATTCCGCATATTTGCTACAGAGAATCATTCCTTGGAGGAATATTTACTGTATAGTAAACATTCTGGAGGGGGGGGGGGCTCTATGTGGAAGCTTCACTATACACAGGTACATTTTCCTCTTCATTTATCAGTATTTTTTCCATAAACCCAATGTTTGTTTGTTTTTTTAAAGTCCCTCTCGAGTATTTTTCACTCATGCATATGGAGACACCAACACTTGCCGGTAGAGGGCTGCAAATTGAGACCTAAACTCGGCACTCAGGGCCATTGAGCAGCGAAGGATCTTTTTCGTGCCAGCACCTACTGCGACATGGGACCACGGTTTATACAATCTCGTTCGAAGGACCGATTTCCGTGTCCCGCAGTGGGATTCGAACCCACGACGTAAGGATCAACGCTTTAACCATTGCGCCACGCGGGCGACGAACATAAATCCAATGTAGAGGATCCTCTCAAACCTCAGGTGGCTATCATTTGAAGAGATTTGAATCTACATTACATTAGAATTATTTACATACAAAACTGACGAAATGTAAATTATTTGTTCTGTAAGAAACTTTCATTTTCTGTACTCTTACAAACTGAAAACCAATTGCAGCCTCATTCTTAAGCTAACGCGCTTAAAGAAATATGCAGGCGTGAAGCGTCGTGGTTCATGTCTTCATGAATTCTCAAAAATTAGATTCATCTCTTAGATAATCAGACTTTTCATACTTGTTTTTGTAGCATGAATGATAAATGTTCACACCCATCTGGGGTATCTGGACCTCCGTATCAACCACACGGGGTCACACCCTAATTATTTACCTGATTTTGTCTTTTCACCATGTGACGTCACTAAATTGAGACGTGATATCATGTAGCAAGACTATTCTAAACGCAAAATGATTGAATATCAATTTTCACTGGTTAGCAAAAGAGGTCTTTATCTTTTTTACATGTAATTGAGAAAAGAGTTACACCTTTTGATATTTTTTAATATTTACGTGTTAAATAAAATGTACATGTATCACTTGATACTGTGTGGTTAGGAAAGTATAAGGAATGCCATACAAGTATTTATAATATGATCAGGAAAGTATAAGGAATGTTATACATGTATTTATAATTTCTAAATGAACAAGAGCTTAAGCAGCATTCATTTGATAAAATATGGTTTGCGTTGAAAACAATAGCATGAATTTATAGTAATGTGCATTAAATATATAGGTTATAAACATGTTGTATTATTGTAGTAAATTTTGAATTTTACAGGGTGCCAGTAAATACCAAATTTACAATATGACATTTATCATAACAATATATAAAAAGACGATAGACAGGAGAGATTTTAATCTGTAGGTAAAGATGTTAACTTTTAAATTTTAAAATATCGTAAAAATATTCTTCACTATCCAATTGTCAACAGTATTCAGATGTCACGCAATTGTTCTGAAGTATTCAAATACCATTTAGATGTTTAAAACGTCTTCTAAAGTAAATACAAGCATATGCCAATGCCCTCAAGTATTCAGCTCACGTGAAGAAGTTCTAGAGTAACAGTTGTTTTAAAGGTTTTCTGATGTTTTCAAAATGTCTGTCCTGATAATGTTTAGAGTATTCAGTTGCCGTAGATTTGTCTGATGGATTCAAACGTTGAAAACGTGCTCGAAAGTACAACAAATGTCGTAAAGTATTTACAGCTTCTTTACTTTTTCAAAAGATTTTTTTTTAAATTAGAAAACCTTTCTTGACTCAAGGCCACAGACACGAAATATACAGCCAGTCAATACTAGATAAAGATGACCGCTATTTATCTATAGTTTTGTTTAGAAAAGTCTTTAAAAAGATTTTTTTTTTCAAATATTTCTTTGAGAACCTTAAATCCCCCTTTTAAGTTTTACCCATTAATGTTTGAAGGAAAATTCTTTAAATGAATTTTTAATCATTATTCGTTGAGACTCATACCTTGAGATGGGAACAAGCTTTATTTCATATATTTTTTTAAAGGGAGTATTTAAAATGAAAAATTGGGTTTCCGGTTTATAGTTAGAACATTTCGAACATTTTTTTCGTATTGGTGAAAAATATATACTTCAATCTGATGTTTTTGGACCCCTGTATCACCCCATGGGGTTACCCCAATTTGGGGGTTACCCCTAATTTCATCTGCTGCACGTTTACCTGTTTTTGTCTTTTCACCACGTGACGTCACTAGATTGAGATATTGTATCCTGGAGCACGACCATTCTAAACACAAATAATATAATATTAATTTTCATTGGTTTAGAAAGGAGGAAATAATCTTATTTAATTAAATAAAATGACATTTTTTGATATTTTTCCCGAATTGCATGTTCTGTGACGTGTATCCTATAATACATTATCAGTAGGTCAGTGCACTGAATGTTATATTTAAAAAAAAATTATGAAAATTAGTAATCTGACTCGTCTCTGAGTATTGTCTCGACTACAAGCCTTCAGATCTCTGTAATGCAACTGATATACATGTACATGTATATATATATATAGATATATTTTTTATATAAAGCAGTCTGATTAAGGGCTTGTGGCCTTGCATACAAAATATAATTCGTAATACGTGTAGACAAATATGGTGTACTTGCAAAATACTATATAGTAATTACAGAGCTCTGTTAGTAAGGATCCATTAACATATACATGTAAACTATGTTTAAATATAACTCGCAGTACGTGTAAAAAAAAAAAAAAGGTGAAATTGGAAAAATAGTGGCAAAGATCTTTACAAAAATTACTTGATTATATATCAAACATATTTTAAAATATAATCCGTAGTACATGCAGGACCTCGTCGAAACGTCGAAAATAATGTGTTTTACAGTAAAACAAAGGTCGTAATTTTTTTAAACTAGTATACTTACAGCTTGTTAATCTTTAAAAGAATCTTAAATACAAGAAATGTTTTAGAAACATATATACCTCCAGTGTGGCAATATTAAAAAGAGAACAACTTTACATTTACAATGTCTGTAATGGTAGTGAGAAAAATTGGTTATTTACTAGTCAGAGGCAAACATAATACCACATTTGATCTCTATCAGACCTCAATATCATTAGTTGATAATTTACTTCAAATTTAATGTCTGAAAAAACAAATGGTTCTCAAGATACTGAGCTGACAATATTTTATTACGACTAGTGTCTATACTGTTCGACCTTTGACCTTGTGACTGAAAAATTAACGAGGGTCATATATTCCACTCCCTAGGGTGAAACAAGTGTACTTAATTTAATGTCTGGCAAACAAAGGGTCCTCAAGATATTGAGTGGTGAATATCTTCCTATATCCAGTTTGACCCTTAACCTTTGATTTTGTGACCTCAAAATCAATAGGGATCATCTGGACTCCTTAAGGGGAACCAATGTACCAAGATTGATGTCTGCCAATCAAAATGCTCTAAAAATATTGAGCAAACAATATCTTCCTACCATGTTTATGTCTGTCAAGCAAAGAATATCAAGTTATTGAACGGAGAATATCGTCTTATGTTTAGAGTAGTTTGACCCTTGACCTTGAGACCTAGCTAAAATCAATAGGAGTCATTCACTCTTCAGGGGGTACCAGTGTACTAAGTTTGATGTCTGTCAAGCAAAGGGTTCTTCAGATTTTCAACGGACAACACTTGGTCTACCGACCGACCAACATACCGACTGACAAGTGCAAAGCAACATGTCCACTTTTTCATGTTGGGGCATAAAACTTTTGTGACTCAATGCCAAAGACACGAAATAAGAAAAATACCGATCAATACTCAAGAAAGGTGACTGCTACTTAATTTACGAATTGTTTAGAAGAGTCTAGATTTTTTCTTACTTACACTTTGAATCTCTATTTTGTAATTCTATTACCAGTGGTTTTTAGAGGTAAATTATTTAAATCATTTTTTTTATTCCTTCGATTTCTTGTCTTGAGAAGGAACAAACATTTCTTGTAGACTGAATCATAAACAAATATTTAAGCTGACAAGAGTCAGAGCTTCGTAAGTCCAATCCAGGTTTTTCCAACATCAAGATTCCTAAAAAAAACCAACGGATTTCAAAATTTACACACATAACGACCGACAGGTGCAAAGCAGTATGCTCCTTTTTGCAAGTGGGAGCATAATGAAGACAACTTGTGTGACCCAGCGCCAGAGACACGAAATAAAAAGTAATTAGAAATTGTTACTAAAAAAAGATTGTTATTTAATTTTCGAATTGTCTAGAAACAGACACCCCCCCCACCCCCCACCCCCCGAGTTATTTCTTACTTAAACTTTGAACGCCTGTTTTGTAATTCTATAACCAGCGATTTTTGGAGGAACATTATTAAAATCATTTTTTTTAAATCATTTCTTAAGTTTCTTCCTTTGAGAAGGATCAAACATTTATTTCATAAATTTTTCTTTTTTTTTTTTTTTTTTTAAATTTCCTTAACAATTTTAATGATAAAAAGATTATTCGGTATGGACAAATCTGATAGGTATAGAACACGTTCTGATCATCACGTACATGATTGTATAATTATATTGTGATATTCAAACCAGAAGCACCATTTGAATTAATTCTCTTATACTTGCAGGATGTACGATCCAATCATGAACGAATGGACAGAGCCGATAATTGGTGTCATTTTACCCCACGAAAGGGAAAAACACTGCATGGTTCCAGTGGGGAAGAAAATCTACATTATGGGAGGTATAATGTACATGTAATAACATGAATAAATGGTAATGATTAATAAGCAAACATGTCTAAGGAAAGGCTTAGGATGATCATATTCGGAGAAACAAGAAGTAGATCATGAAATTTACTTAAGAGTAAAAAGTCAACGCACAACAAGAGACCCATGGATCACAACGCCTATATGAGTCGGATAACCTTTCTGACAAATATGGCGACAAATCAAACCCTCAAACACTAGACAAAATTTCTGATGCACCACTTAGTATTTTTATCTGGAAATACGACATCTGCCTCATCGACACGAGTAACTCTAAATTGCCGTCTTGCCTACTGCAGTCGAATTTGCCGATGTCTTTATTTCAACATAACACTCAAAAAATTAATCGCGCTCTTGCGCGCAAATAATTTCCCGAAACCGATTGCGCACCTTTTGCGCGATCATGTAAGGTTGGCGGTTACCGATGGTGGTCACAGAGAAGTGCAAAAATGTTTGAGCACGATTTTCATGAATTTCTATGAAATGATTATGCATCGGTTACCATTTATTTATTTATCTGTTTTGGCTTTTAAACATCTTACTTTTAATATGGTTTCATATTTATATATCAGATAGTAGACAGATACGACTTAAACAACTTTTGAAAAGGTAAAAAATTAATTTTCTATGATGGTGCGTTAGCACTTTTGTCTAATGTATTAGTTTTAAATAATTAGATAGCAGTTTGAAGTCGAGCTAACAAATTAAAGCTTTACCGTTCTGGCAGAAGTTAATCATTTTGTGTTAAAACTCCAAATGTGGCCCCAACCTTGCTCCAAGGATCATGATTTTAACAAATTTGAATATACATTTGTACACTGCCTAGGATAAATGCATGTAAATCTAACTATATATAGCCCTTTTTTTTCTTGAAAAGACCATTTCATACGTTTGATTTGAGTCCCTTCTTTGGTCCCACTCTACCTACGGAGACCATGATTTGTACAAACTTGAATCTCCACTTTTAAATGCCCGTCTGTTCTCGAGAAAGCGATTCTTGAGTACTTTCCAAAGGACTGAAATCGATAGTATTGTTTCTCCGCCCATCTTAGGCCAATTTTTAAAAGTTATCATATTCCTATGATTTTTTTTAAAAAAATCTATATTCATATTTACATCACATCATCAATTTTCATAAAATATGAATTAATTAATATAACTCTATATTTTGGGGTAAAATTCAAGAATTTCACTGCAGAAATCATTGGAACTCGGAAAATATTGTAATTTCCAAATTTGCCAAACTTGAACTATAAGTATCTTTGTGTAAAATGTGAGGTAGCATTCGCAGTTCTTTATTCAAGTGTAAAACTTCGATCTTTCCTTGAATTTTCACTACCTGGAATGATTACACATTAATATGACCAATTGTAATGTGATCCTTCTGCTCTTGAGTTAAAGATATTTTTTTTCAATTTCCCCCAATATATTCCTACGACAAACTTTCACCCCAAAATTATGGCCCCGTCATAATATGGATACAGGGGACATGATTTGAACAAACTTGAATCTTTACTACATGTGAATGTTTGATTGTTAATAGGACGAATTAAAGCACTTCCGTTCTTGACAGATTCCCCCTATATATTCCTTTGTTAAACTTTGAAACTCTTCTGTGGCCTCACCCTTTATACAGACACCATGTTTTGAACAAACTTGAATGTTCACTATATCAGGAAACTTCCTCTTAAGATTTTTTTCTAAATGAGTAGTAATTAAAGATAATTTTTTCTGATAATTATCTCCCCTTCAAAGGGACCTTGGTTCGATCTTTATTTGAACAAAGTCCATACCCATAAAGTTTTTTTTTTTAATTATAAAATATGGTTGAAACTAGCCCAGAAGTTCAAGAAAAGTTGAAAGTTTGATAAATTAAAATACATGAAATAGAGGGACGTATATGTAGTCAAACATGTAGCCAAAGAAAAGTAGGTGGCGTGTGGATGTTCATTTCCTCGTATGAAATAAACACAACGATCGCTATTAAAAGGTCATACTGAAATAAATAAGTTAATCCGCAGGTGTAACCTAATAAGACTTATTTATATAATAAATTTCTATACAAAAATGTAGATGATAACAGAATTGTGCTAATCAATGCATCGAATCTTGTAAAATCGTCCAACCGGTTCTCAGTAGTTTCAGTATTTCAAGTCTTTGGGAAACATAAGCTCTAGATTAATATCTCATGGGTTGTCCTTATTTAGAAACGAACTGGTTGTTCATTGGTATTTCTTCTATTACATAGAATACAACTATGAAATGTGGTCAATAATACAATAAAGTTATAATGCACTGGATACTCCAAAGAAACCCATCATGAGATGTTTAAAATTCAATAAATGTCGTTCTTTAATTTTTAATTTTATTTTGTGGGCGAGAATTTAATCTCTAGATTGTGGCAACATGAAAGTCACAGGATATAGAGAGAACGCTTAACTGTCAACGATTTCTTTAGTCCTTCGGAGTGGACGTTGATTCCGTGTCATAGACAACAATCCCTTTCGCACGTAAAATGTCTCTGTGGTGTTTGAACAAGATCCTTTTGGCTCACCACAGAGACATAAAAAATTACAGAAACTCGAGAAAGAATTTTTTTCACAGCCGAAATATGGCTTAAATTTCGCACAGTCACTATAAAACCTTAGACAATCAATTAATGCTCCTTGATTGGAATGTCGTGGCCATGGGTTCGGGCCATGACTACAACAAACCTAGCTAAGTCGAAAATAACTAGTAACTACTCCTTCGCCTAGCACTCGACACTTCGAAATGACAGTTGTGGGTACCGGTCCTTTAGATGAGACTTTTAAAACGGAGGGCTCACAGCACGGCAGGCTTCTGAACCCAAAAGTACTCTCATTACTTAATGGCCCTAAGTACCAAATGAAGCATCTGGTGACGTCTCAATATATGTAAAGTAAACTTGCATGGGGCTTCACACTACAGCCATCTATTAACGACTTCTTGAGTCTTCAAAAGGCGAAGGACTCATTCCAGACAAGGGTTCAAAGTTATGATCCTGGTATATTTCATTGCTATGTGACTTGAGATAAGCCAAAGTCAGGTGAACCGTTTGACCCCTGTTTATGGCGAGGTAGCCTACAAACGGATTGGTGACCTAGACTACACTTCAGATCTGAGAAATGACATTGAGTAAAGTCGATGATACGCCTTCACATATACACGCACAAATGTATTTGATAGCAACATAAAAGATTCCTACCACTCTAGTAAATGATTAAAGTTATTTCGCGCACAAAATTTTTGAACCATACACACAAACAGACAGACTAACAGACACCATGGTCAAAGAAGGAATGTCAGACATACCGCTGTAATAGTACAATATGATCAATTGTACTTAAGTTAACTTTTTTTCCATGCAATGCCCCTCCATTCGTTCTAAATTATTTATAATTATTAGTGGCCAGAAATGAAAGTTAATTTGAAATGTAACTTATTGACCTTTTTAAAGGTAGGGGCTTTGATCAGGAGACATTTTCAGAGAAAGATGAAGCAGCTATATCCAGCTATAATACAAAATGTCGAGGCGACTTCCGGCGAGATGCATGCTGGGATGTGAATCATCCAAATATGAACCAACCAAGAGCTCATGGAGGAGCAGTTTTGCTGGGTAATCTTTGTAATTTCTGTCACTCAAGTGTCATTTACAGTAGAGAAAATACCATTTCCTCATTAATCTCTGATTTAGCATAATTATCACTGTTTCATAATTTACTGATCGACTATTCCAAACGCCAATCGTACTTCAAAAGCAATATTCAGCATTTCTTAATTTAGTATTTAGTAATTTAAAATGTATGCACTAAGTAGCTATATAATTATCCAACTTTTAATATTGGCAAACCCAAGAGGAAAACATATATGTACCTAAAATATTATTTTCAAAGTATGGACGACTGTGTTTTTTTTTTCCGGGATTTTCTGTGGGTTTTTTTAATCATTATCATTATCAGTATTAATCCTTAATTGAAGAAAATGCAATTGTTTTTTTTTTACTTTTTTTGTTTTGTTTTGTTTTGTTTTTTGGTTTCATTTTGTTTTTAATCATTATTATTATCACTGTGAATCCTGAATTGAAGAAAATGCGGTTTATTTACTGATTTCAAGAAAGGGAAATCGTTTTCAAATATAAAAACTCAAATTTTTGATATAAAAGAAAGGACATTTGACAATGTTCATTTGCTTACAGAGCCAACATACCTCGGATCAGAGTAGAGATTTAATGCATGCCCTTGTAATACTGTAAAAAGGTTTCATTATTATACCACTTATACACAACATTATCATTATAGGTATTAAGCATTTTTCATTAACTGAAAATATTGATAAAATAAGTAGGTACGCTGTCTCCTGCACTTTTTTCGCACTTGTGGGTTATTTGCAGCTCATCAACAATCATTGGCTCATTTAACGTTTTATTTGTAGGTGATATAACTAAATGACAAATTTATACATGTTTCAGGTCATAATATATATATGATTGGTGGCAAGAGCTTTCAGCGGGATTGTGATGTGCTATCTGTTGAGTGTTACAACACCAAGAGAAGGAAATCTCGCGAGATGTTTACACTTCCGCCGAGTGACAATTACGTCAACTGCGACTGCGTGATACTCAAGGTGCCAATAACAAATAAAGACATTAATTTTAACGACGTGCTATTGTTTGATAAATGGATCATGTGGTGAAACATTTTTAAGAAATATCCACCTCTGTTTTTCAAATTAAACCTTTATTCAACAATCTTGAAAATAATTACTGTATCTGTTTGTCCTGAGAATTGCACTGGTGAAACTTAAATTTTGAGAAAAAAAAAGAGGGCTAATACCGGACTAAAATTATCATGCATACTAAAATTACATGTACATGCAAAGATAGCTACATTTAATCGCTACATTCAATAGAAAAAACATAATATCCTGTATCACGGAACATCATTGGTGGCATTCATGACCTTCATTTTTACCAAGGTGAAAAAAAAACAAGATCAGCAGGAAGAAGGCAATACTTGTTAAAGTAGGAGTGGATTGTAGAGAGACGCAATGGATTCACCGAAATCTGAGCATAGGAAGCACATTTATCTTTTGTGTAAAGAAAACAAGGGATCATTGGTGTGGGGTTTAAAAAAATAAAATTTCATAAATTTACAGTGTAACACCAATACTCCGGTCACTGATAACTTAAATCATGATTTAGTCTGTAGGTCATCCTTCCTTCAATCACCAATTTTACCTTCTATCATCAATGACTAAGTCAAGAAAAGGTTTATGTTATAAGAATTGTTAGTTAAAATTCTACATGCAAAATACACAGAGAAATAACTCTGACCTTATATCAAAAGTATTACGAACACGAAAGATATATCTAGTTTTGTACTGATACCTAAATTAAGTCAGATTACTACTAAGTGGAGTGATCATATCATTACATTATATAATAGTTTATACGATATAAAGTCAATTTTTTATCAAATCATATGAGAAAATACATATCATGCTGAAAGTTTGGTTTATCATGATAAAGTGCTTTTTATGCCACAAAAATTTGCATGAGACATATGAAATCCAAATTGACATAAATATGGTGGATTTAAAGTACCATCTACATTCTTATATAATGACAAAATCAGTGCTGTTTTTACATATTAAATAATATCAATATATCAAACTGATTAATGTGACATATTTGATTCTGTTATATCAGCATTTTTTAGCTTAGTTGGCATTTTGTATAATAACAAGTCACATGGATAGTACAGCTGTAATATGCCATATTGTCCACCATCAACATAACAGTAATGATATTTCAACATGATATGCAATAATTATTCCAATGTAATATTTCATCATATCGCATTCAGATATAGATATAATAGTTCTAAGTAGGAATCGACATACTGTTATTATATTAAATATACCAAGAAATGATGCCATTACATAAAGCCTCATCTCACTTTTATCAAAGGCTAAGTAATATGCATTTTACAATATATCGATCACAAAGTGAAATGTAAAAACAGATAATCTAGTGCTGTTCATTTTTCCTACACGAAAAATAACTGAAAAGTTTTATATGCTTAATCTCCAAATTTGAATTGAATGGATCATTGTAACTCAAGAAGCAGATGTTATTTTCCTGGACTAAGATCCACCTTTGAGATCAGACAATCAGCGACTTTGTAGATGCATGGAGTACATGTAACATAGAGTGAACGCAGCCTACAGTTTAGCCGATAGTTGACTTTAATATACTGAAACGCAAAAGAAACGCAACAAGCGGTAAACTACAAATATTTGAATTTTTTATCTAATGATTTTCAAAAATGAATACAGTAAGGTAAAACTTGATTTATAAACATCAGAGATTTGATGAAAATGTTAAATTATAATCTTTTAACTTTAGAAAGTAACACATGAATGTTAAAACACCCCCCACCCCGGCCATTCAATTACAGCGTGCAAGACTGCCATGTACAACAGTTGCAGCTTGAGTTTTTATGATGCAGTAGGTTTATCAATCTCGAGATCTGAGCGAAAGAAATATTCCTTGCCATTTTTTAATGCCTGTTTTTCAGATGATGAGGTCGAATTTTCTCTAGCCAAGCGCAGTGTAGTAACCCTTGGACTTCCGGTCCAAGGACCGTCATTCATGCTAATGATACGTAAGAGCCTGTTGAGGCGTGATGTGTTGCATATTTGCATCTGCAACTCTCCATTACCTTTATTTTGAGATTTTCCACTTAGAGCAATGGAAATGCGTACTAAAATCATTTTTAGGAAGCCTTAGCATCGCTTACGGAAAAGAAAGGAGAATTTATTTTTCGTAACATTGCTTCATTACTTATGATGAACAGATACAAATTCTTAAAACCCCATATTATTGCCAAATATTTTGTTAAACATGCAATTTTTGATTTCTGTTAAGCGGACTCAAACTTAACTTCCGGTTATGGTCTGAACCGTTAAATTACCGATATTTACAAAGTTGAAGATGTCCTTACATTTTAGATACAAAATTATATCCTATATATAATATTTCCCCCTAAAATAGGATGTTGCGTTTCTTTTGCGTTTCAGTATATATACCGGCTGTAAAAAGTCAATCAGTGACAATATGTGTTGAGATTTGATCCAATGTTAACTTTTTATTATGATTATTATGATTAATATAACAGCTATAGTATATAATATCCTGAGATAGAAGATTGTTGTTCCGCTTGATGAGACCAAACCCTTGTCTTCACCTCAGAAAATAAATCTGTTATCTAGAAACAAAATTATTGCTATCTACCACCATGAATTTTTTTTTTCGTGGGTTTCTCAAAACCAAGAGAACAACGAAAACTAAACGACCATGAAAATCAGTTTTTTTCGCTGTAACTTATTATAATATATATACTCAAATCTATTTCTATTCCATATGTTCTGCTCATGATCATTCCTATTTTTTTATATGACGACGTCGCCAAACTGCATATCTAATTCTCTATGAAAATAAAGTTCTTTTTCTTGTGAGTTCTGGGGTTTTAAATTGTGATTGATTGATTATATGTTGTTAACGTCCCATTCAAGAATTTTTCACTCATCGTTCTTTAGGCTAAGTGCCACACATTTTGACCTAAGAATGGCGATTATGGCCGTAGCATTCAGGATTCTTTATTGCGCAAACGCCTACGTGACAAAAAATTTCAGTTTTAAAGGTCATATCGGACAGATCGTGACTTCCACTGCTCTTGTCACGTGATTGAATTGGCAAAAGAACAGACACTGCCTATGTTTAAAGTTTTATGTTTGACGCTGCGACAGGGGACACAATAGAACTCGGGCCTCTCAATCTCAAAACCAGCGCCTAAACATTAGGATACAAATTTTGTTCAATTCTTGAAAGTGTACATGTTTACTTTTACGGCGAAAAAAAATTGTATATCTCAACTGTAAAATATTGCTTCGGACCTTCCTCCTGATTGTGCGCATGCGTAGAAAACAGAAGTGGAATATCGGTAGACCGAGAATTTTGACAGAATCCTAGAAAAAAGTCATCATAACATATTTTTATGAAATTATTAAAAAATATTCTTGTATTTGATTATGACTTTAGTTACTGTGTCTTTTTAAACAATAGTATATCGTCAAAGTTTCCGTTCACCAAAAATCTGAAACCATGAAATCTTCAAACATTGAAGCCTTCAATATTACCATCGTCACGGTAGCTCAGAGGGTAGAGCGCTCGCTCCGTAATCGGAAGATCGTGTGTTCGCGACTGACCTAAGTCGATAAAAATAGGTAGCAACTGTTCATTCGCCAAGCGCTCGGCACTTTGAAGTGAAAGTTGCGGGTCCTTCAGATGAGACTTTAAAAACCGAGGCCGCATGTCACGGTTGGTGTTGGCACGATAAAGAACCCTCACTACTCAATGGCCCTGAGTGTGGAGTAAAGGTCTAAATTTGAAGCCCTTCACCGATATACGGTGACGTCTAGAGCTACATGAGTGAAAAATTCTAGAACGGGACGAAAACAACATCCAATCAATCAATCAATCAATATAACCACGTTTATAATATACGCAAAACTGGTGGCACTTTATTACTTACCCTGAGAAAAGAGAGGTCGGTAAAATAATTTTCATAACAAAATGCACAATTTTTCAAATTACTGAAATTGTCAGCAATACAATAGGGTTATAGCTCCTAGGAATTGCATGTAGGAAACCTCCTCTATCATGTTTTAAGTGCATTATCTCAAGAAGCTGACTACAGCAATCATTTTAAAGTCAGAAACACATCACATACAACATTATGGCATTGTTCAAAATACTGTGGAATCATTATTGTTCGTGGGGACCAATGTTCGTGGATTTCGTGGATCATCCTTACCCACGAATTTACATCCCCACGAACGTTTATTCTGTAAACATATTGGTTCATTGAATCTACCGTATAAACTAGTAACCCACGAAATTTCGTCCCCACGAACAAATAAAATTTTGCCTGCCCACGAACATTGACCCCCACGAATTAAAATGATTCCACAGTACAACTGTTTGAGACTTTCTCCTTTGCAAAGTCAATAATATGACTATCATACGTTTTGAAAAACATCAGAAGTTCAAGAAAAGGTATAAGTTTGCTGCAGTACACAGGTTCATTTTTGCTTTATCTTATATTCGCTGCTCTTGCGGAACGAAAGTATCTGACATAAGTCATTGGGGAAAGTAACTTAATACATGAACTCAAAAGAAAGCAGAAGTATAATTTGGTTTAGAAACTTAAAACTAATAGTAGCAAAAGTCAAAGTTGTGTACAAAAAAACTAGGTTAAGACATGAACCATACATTATAACAGTCTTTTATCCAAATTTGTATTTGAATATACAGCCAAATTAATTACGTTTACAGTATATAAGGCGGTGTGTTGATTCACTCCGTTGCCCAAATGCCTCGTCTAGTATCTGATTGCTTTCTTAATTTCCACGTGACTTTTATAAAACTTTTATCTGTTAAATGCCATTAGGTGGGAGCATTTCTAAATTATGTATAGATTATATACTTCCTATATTGACATGGAATGAAAGTTGTATATTTTCAAAGGGTAATCTTTAATTCATTTTCGTAAAGTTTTGAGCGTAAGTCATTCCAGAGACAAACAAGAGTTGTTTGGTATAACATCAAATGTCGAGGTAATTTCCGAGGCGAGGCAGGTTGGATT